CGAGCACTGTTTTATTAACACTAGCAATATATGCAATTGTAAAATATATATATATATATATATATATATATATATATATATATATATATATATATATGTATGTGTGTGTGTGTGTGTGTGTGTGTGTTGATGTAATAATAGGAAAGAACATTTAGATTAATAATCTGTTCTTTAGTTTTTTATTTTTTTTAAAATCAGTTCAGAAGTAGAGAGCTTAAATTATAATTATTTTTTAAAAATATGTTCAATTGCAGCACAGAAATTACTATATTTTGAAACTGAAACTCAAGTCCTAAAGTTTAATTTCAAATTAAACTTAAAATTTAGAGCAGAGTTTCATTCTTAGGCGATGTTTAGAAATGACAAGACACCAGAAGTGTTGAAACAAAATGGCTATTTTTGTAGTGATGTTATAACATAGTTATGTTATGATTTTTATATAAATAATATTCGCTTTACTTTGTATTGAGCACTTTTTTTTAAAAATAGTGATTTTGTTACTGCCATCTATTTGTATTCTTATATATATATATATATATATATATATATATATATATATATATGGAGGTATATTGCGTTTTTATACAGTTGCGGCCAAAATGTTCAGAACGGCATTGTTTTCGTCAGAAAAGTGGTATAAGTTTTTTATCAATGTTGTTTTATATTCTATAATTTTCACAGACAATAAATACGATATTAATTGATATTGTCTGGGAAACAAAAGTTAATGAAATTTACAAAACCCATTTTTACTACGTGTTTTAGTATATTTAACTGGCGAACTCTAATTTTTTTTTAAATTTGTTTACGGACGGTTCGTTTATTAAACATTAGGGAAAAAAAAAATATCTGCAGTGTAACTTTGTTAATATAATGCCACTTACTCCGTTAAATTCGTCAGCAGATTAAGCTTCGAAAGAAGGATAATTTAAGTATTGGGTCTATTGCAAAAATTGTTAACAAGTCAAAAAGTGTTGTTCACGGTATTCTTAAGGTCTACGGTGATTGTGGTTCGTGTGAAGCAAGAAACTCTACAGGTAGGCCAAGAAAAACAACCAAGATAGAAGATTGTGAAAATTGGTTAAATACAGATTTCAAACTGGCTGTTTCTCGAAATGAGCATTGTACTTAAAACAAAAAACTGTGTCTCGTCGTTTAGTTGAACATGACCTACAAGCAAAGAACTGCAGGAAGTCACTGATCAGCTCCAAGAATAAAAAAGTGTCGTCTTACCTTTGCAACAGAACATGTTAAGAAAAATAGAAAACGTTGCATTTCAGTGAAAATTTAAGTTTATGTTATTTGCCTCAGATGGGAAAAAATACGGTACATTCGTTGAAATAGGTGAAAAATTGTCGCCTTAAGACTAGGTTAAATTCGGTGGAAAGTGTCATGGTTTGGGGGATGATATCTGGAGATGGTGTGGTGCGATTACATGGAAAGGTAAATGCAGGAGTTTATAAACAACTTGTAAAAGATCATGTCTTGCCTGTGCTGAAAAATTCAACTAAGCGAACCTATATTCATGCAACAATGCCCCATGTCACAAGGTTAAGGTGGTTGATCTTGCTCAAGGCTGAATAGATTGTTATGGATTGGCCTGCTCAAAGAATCTCACTATTGAAAATGTGTGGAATATTTTAGGAGAACGTTCGAACATCCTAAAACAACAAGCAATTATAGAATGCCCTTCAGAAGAATGGAATAAGATGACCCATCCAGAAATTGAAAGTTTAATTTCCTCATGCAGTTGAAGATGTCAAAGTGTGATTGAAGCTAAATATTAAATAATTCCAGTATTCTCTGTCATTTTTTATTATTTTGTTATTTTTTCAACCGTTCTGATCATTTTGGTCGCCATGGTTTTTGCAGTAAATCACTAAATCCTCCATAACTTTTGTATTATCCTCTCAAGTTACACCAAAATCTCAGACAATAACAATTAAAATCGTAATTATTGTCTGTGAAAATTATAGAATATAAAACAACATTGATAAAAACTTATACCTACTTTTCTGACGGAAACAATGCCGTTCTGAACATTTTGGCCGCAATTGTATATGCGTGTGGTTATAAAAAAAGAAACAGACCATTCGGAATTTTTATTATTGAAGCAAGTAAATACACGCTCAAATGAAAAACTATTGTGACATAATCTATTTATGTTCTGTCAATGCGCTTGTGTATTTGTAAAATCTTTTATACCCATATAGTATAAATATTTTAGTGCCATAATCGTAACATAGACTTAGGTCCATTCATAGATCAGTTCACTTGTGTGGTGTGTGCAATTCTTACTGGGTATCTAACTTCCGTGCTAGACTAGTGTAAACCTAATAAACAATCCTTTTAGAATACGTTATGTTACGGAATGCATGGTTGTTAGTAAAAGGGACAGCCCAGCAAGCAAATTACAAATCAGGGATATCAAAATCAAGAAAATTTAAATATTTAGGAAGTATCTTAACAAAAGATGTAAAGTGCGACTAGGAAAGGCGAAGATGCCTTCCAAAAACTGAGCAAAGTATTAAGAAACAGAAAAAATTCGTTAGAAATACAGAAAAAAATACGCATCTGTTATGCAATATCAGTCCCTTTATGTGGTAACGAATGCGGGACAATCTCTTCAAAGATGAAGAAGAGAATTAAAGCAACAAACATATGGTTCCACAGAAGGATGCTGAGAATACTATAAACCGAACATGTAAACAACAACGAAGTTTTAGAGAAAATAGAAACAAAAAGGGCAGTTATACTTAAAATCAAGGGGAGACGGATAAAATTTCTAGGGCACATAATGAGGAAAGAGGGCTTGGAAAATTTGATACTCGCAGGACAGATTGAAGGCAAAAGGGAGTCATGAAACATAAACTACCTAACGAATTTGTGGAAGATGAATGATGGAAAAAGTTTTAGGAGAGATAACAAAAAGAAAAAAGTTATTAAGAGCTACAAAAGAAAGAAATTGTAGATTCTCCTGACAGAAGAAGAATGTCAAGTTTTTCATCTGTTTTGAGCCTATTAAGATATTAGCGTTAATTTTATAAAGTCTCAAGAAAAGACTTGAGGCAACAGAAATTTGATTCTACAGACGGATTTGAGGATAAAAACTGAACTTAAACCAAAAGGAAACTTATACTTAACACCAGGAAGAAACAGTTGACATTTCTAGGACACACAGTGAAGAAAGAAGGCTTGGAAAATCTGATACTCACATGATATATTGAGGCAGGACAGAGGAAAACAACGCATAACCTACTTAGTAAGCTTGAGCAAATGGTTGGCGGAACAAGATTTATGAGAGATAACGAAAAGGCAAAATTTATTAAGAGCTAAGATCGTGTGTTGTGGTGTTCTCCCTCAAAGGAGTCTGTTAGACTCTTCCGCCTACTATAAGATTAGTAGGAGAGAAAGTTCAGGGAACAATTAACAGTAAATAGATTGAGTTCTAGTTCATTCGATACATTCTCACTAGTCGTGTACTACTCTTCTGGTGTACTTACTGTTTAATATACGATATATCTGCAAATTACTTGCTATTACTTAACCATTTACTTGGTCACAACAACGTGAAATTGTGGCGAGCCATGATCATCAGCGTCTTAAAGGGACACGGCACATAGAAGAAATATTGATGTTTTTTATGTATTTTCTTTGGAATATTTCATGGCTTCACTCAAAACCATAAACAGAGAGCGTAAAAAAATATAAGCGAGGCTTTTTGGCCTGAATTTATAGACGCCACATTGCCCGGTTTTTCTCCGCCCCTAACGAACTGTGTAAGAGCAGTTTTCCTTTCTGTTACGAATAATGGTTAAAATACTAATCGAGTTGTTTGTTTATCGTCTTTCTGTATCAAAGTCAAATCACGAACGCGCAGATTAATTATCATCGAGGAAGGATAAGCAAAATGTACACGTGAAAAATCTTTCGTTTATCATGTTGTTGTGCTATGCAGCCTGGCTAACAAGTATGTACTTGTTAAGGAATTTGCCCTGACAGGCTAAAGTAGAACGAGAACGCGGAGCAGTTTCGAGACAATACTTCAAAGGTTATTTATTGATTTATAACAGCCTATCCATTCATTCATTCATTCATTCATTCATAAAAGAAAAGTTTACCTTTTAAATGTTTACACCAAAAGGTTTTCGATCTTAGAGAAATTGTGAAGAAAGAATGCCAACAAAAGGAAAAGTATGTATTTGCGGGTATGGTTCAGAGGTTAGAGCGATAGACGACTGGTAGCCAAAAGACCCAAGGTTTTTGTTGTTGAAAATATTGAAATTTGTATTAACTAGAATCTCTGTGGAAATCCGTACAGTATTTAGCATTGCCGAAGTTATCGCTAACATTTTTGTCAAGATTTACAAATTCTACTTTTTATTTAATTTCGCAAACCAATGGATGAAATTTGAACAAGCTGATTTGTTTGGTACGGTGGAGTAATGGATTGCGGCTCGGATTGAGGAATCGGATAGCCGAGTTCGAATTCCAGTCAAATCCATCAAATTCACTTACGTGCTAATACTCTTGGGAAAGAATCCTCTCTTTCTCTTCGCAGCTATGGGTAAATAGCAGGACAGACTGGGTTTTATATCCTTGGTTGGCAACTATACCACAGGAAGTTAATGGCAACCTACTGCTGGAAAAAATATATGCCTCGTCAGTCATATATCGAAAGATACATGTATCACGCATGGCACATAACTGATTTGTTTTGAAAAATACCCTTGACACTACCCTACTTTACAGTTTTATTATTACTTTAATTTTATAGTACTTCATGGCAAACAATATTAACTCGTTAACCATTATCCCACGTCAAGGCAGCTAAATGCATCCACGACAAGTGTGAGATGGTACTATATAGCACGTCGGTTGGCGTTGCGGGGTACTTCAGGCTTCATTTTTTTCTGGAACTGAGAACTAGACAAGACGAAATTTGTCTTCTTGCCTCAATTTATAACATTGCTAGTGAGCTCAGGTACATCATTTATGGCTTACGGTCGTATCACACTGAAACACCGGTTCTCGTATGATCACTAAAGTTCAGCAACGCCTGAGCCTCGTCAGTACCTAGATGGGTGACCGCTTGGGAATACACATTTTCTGTGCTCTGTTAAAACACTTCTTAGATATTTAAATTTTTGTACTGGCTTGTTTTTGGCGTCTCTTCTATTAACCTTCAGCATTCTACATTATGAATAATACTACAATTTCCACTGTATTATTTTCTCAAGGCCTATCACTTATTGTTAATTCCACTCAAAGTTGTTTTCTGTTGCCATAGAAGGATATGGCAACACAACTATTAAATTCAAACACACTATTGGTCAGGGATCAGAGTCACCTTTAGTGGCAGGATAAACTTTTTGTATCGCAAATGAAATAGCATACAGAGTGATAAATGTTAAGAAATATTCCCCAACAAATCCATTACTCTAGGTAAGATATTTTTCATTAATATTAAATCGCATAATTTTAAACTGGCGTGCGGAAATGGTGGAGTAGAAGGAAATGAAACGATATTTAACTTTACTGCTCCAAGCATTTGACGATTACAATACAACTAGCTTAAATTAGCTCCTGCGGAAGTCTCTTTATTGGGCCTTCATCAGAATAAATTTCGAGGATTGCCATTTTCTTTCTGCGGTAGTCCAGTCGCCACCCATTCTGCTAGGGAGAAGAAGAAGATCCATACCTTTTCTAAAGGTATTAGAATGTAATGGATTCGACTGGAATTCGAACTCCGATTCCTTAAATCCAAGCCGCTAGCCATTACTCCACCCTGCTTACTTATCGAAAATAGTAATTCGCCTCAAGAAATTATAAATTTTAAATTTTAAATCAAATTCTGTTTTTTATTACATTTTAGCACTCTTTTGAAATTTTAAATTTTAAATCAAAATTTGATTAGTTTGCCTCGCAACAGCTCTAACTTTCAGAATTAAAAATTACTCAAAATCAGGGAGTTATTCACATTTTTTTAGTGCGGATGATATTCAAGGTACTTACAAGGGAGTTTTTAAAAGAGTTTTTAAAGAAGGAAAAAATATCTGATTTTGGAGTGTTTATCGGAGTGAGCGCGAATGCAGACCCCACACTTACAAATAGCGCACCGGAGCCTCTCATATTTGAGCCGATCACAAAGATCAATCCAAATGAAGTGAAATGGAATGGGTCGCTCTGGGAGAATTTTAGTAAATATAAATTCTTTTTATTATGTGGTGAATTAATATTTTGGGGCGAATTAACAGAAAAGATCCGCTTTTTTCATTATAGATAATAATTATGCGTTGACTAATAACTTTAACATTTATTACGTTTCAACAGGTGAATTCCATTTATAAAAATGTTACTTTCCAAACAAGAATATAATGAGGTAAGAGGGCTTGGAAAATCTGACACTCACAAGAAATTTTGAAGGTATGCTTGTCTAAATGATTGACAGAAAAGGGAATGAGAAAGATAACGAAAAAACAAACCCTGCCAAGAGCCACAATGGATAAGGAAGTTGTGGAGAATCATGATCGCGCACGTCCTGTAGGGAAACAGCACACAGAAGAATATTTTTATAAGACAGACTCAGATTTTATAGGGGTATAAGGAAGGTATATTAGCAAATCTTGTAATTAATAGCTTTTCACTATTTACATTATTCGGACTATTGTCCATCTTTGTCGCCATATTTATTACGACGTTTCGGCCGTTGTACGCTCTGGCCTTCTTCAGGTGATTGGAATGTCGAACTGAACCCTTTATTTTGCTCATTGGGGTAGACTGTTCTAGTTCATTTTTAATGAATATCAGTTATCAGTTATCTCCTGCTAATTTCCCTCTGAAATTCAATACCCGGTTAAGGCAGTGGAGAACTACTGCCTTAACCGGGTATTGAACTCACACTCTTTGGGTCCTGTCACTGGATCTAATCAACGCCTTTATCCACTGTGCCATGTGTTCTTGAGCTTTTTGTGGTTAATTCTTATGAAAAAGACCAAGATTTTATTGAGATCCAAGGGAAATGTTTCAATAAAGTTTGTAATTTTAAGGCTTTATGTTTTCTATCTTTCCAGTTTTCTTAACTATTATTTCTTTCGGTACTGTAGAGTACTGGGATTCAACCAGGCTGTTGTGGTTGAAGTAGCATGTAGGTTTTTAATGTTGCTGGTTGTCTCGCTATTTGTGTCACCAGAAAAGCCTGGTGGGGGAACTGGTTTTACTCACCGGTTAACCAGCCAATCTGATTTACATGGTAACAGAAGGACTCGTAATGTTAATTGATATAAGAGTTATGAAAAGACATTGAGAGATATTTTGAATTGTAAGAATATTTTTTATTTGCGAGTGAATATTGCATTAACAATCTTTGGCGGGGTGGGGAATAGAAGTCCTACTATTTAAACCATAGATTGTGGGTAGAAGAGATGGATCCATACCTTTCAACTGCAGATATTTGCGCGTAAGCTAATGTAATAAACCCGACTGGAATTCGAACTCGGTTCTCCGATTTCTCAATCCGATTCACTATCCATTACACACGCCTCACATCGAGTCGTAGAAGAAAATGCTTACTCATGAATGACGGTTAGTGGGCTGAATGGAATTCGTTTGGACAGTCACAGTTCAGTGAAAAGTAACTTGGGTCAATGAAGATATGATTCATATCAGAACAAGTTACAAGTAGCGGAATTATCATCTCAGCAAGAATTCTTTTCGCTTACAATGCAAGATTCTTTCAAGATGATTTGTTAGTTATAAAGAATGATTTTGTTGCTGTCAACAATGATTATGCTCTTGAAAAAATCTCTTTTCTTACATTTTAACGGGTGATAAGAAGAAAACACCAACTTGTCAGTCAAAACGTATGCTGCCATTGAACTAGTAGTATTTAGTTTGGCTGATTTTGTTTAGCGGCATATCAACATCTTCATGGGTTATTTAATATCGAAATCTAAATATTTTTTAACACAATTTTATAGCTTCAACTAAATATTTTGAACGCAATTGCATGCATTCAATTGCAGATAAAATGTATTGTTGATCATTTTGCTATAAAATGTATTGTTGGTCATTTTACTATAAAATGCATTGTTGGTCATTTTGCTATAAAATGTATTGTTGGTCATTTTGCTATAAAATATATTGTGGATTGCTATAAAATGTATTGTTGGTCATTTTACTATAAAATGTATTGTTGGTCATTTTGCTATAAAATATATTGTTGGTCATTTCGCTATAAAGTATATTGTGGATCATTTTACTATAAAATGTATTGTTGGTCATTTTACTATAAAATGTATTGTTGGTCATTTTACTATAAAAATGTATTGTTTCATTTTGCTATAAAATATATTGTTGGTCATTTCGCTATAAAATATATTGTTGATCATTTTACTATAAAATGTATTGTTGGTCATTTTATAAAAATGTATTGTTGGTCATTTTACTATAAAATGTATTGTTGGTCATTTTACTATTAAATAGCTATTTTGCTATAAAATGATTTTACTAGTTTACAGTTTACTATTGATAGGTATTTTTATAGGTATTTTTATACTTTCATAGTATAATGAAATGGATTAAGTCCGAAAATGATTTAATATATTTTCTCTATATACGTTATTTTTTATAGATACAATTTATTTAAGTAAATGCTCTGTTTTTAATTAAATAGTTTTAATTACATTCAGGCCAGTAAATGTAATTATTACTGTTTAATTAAAAAACAAAGCCTTTACTTAAATAAATTGTGTCTATAAAAATAACGTATAAACAAAAAATTTATTAAATACTTTCATTTTTGTTTTGTTTGGGGTTTCACTATTTGCTCCTAGCTCGGACCCTAACAAGTCCTACCACACCTGGTGGACCTGGGAAAAACAGCAATTAAGATGTAGTTGCACGATCAGAGGTCTTGTTACCGGATGTAGTTGTAGTAATAGTAATAGTAGAAGTAGTAGTAGTAGTAGCAGCAGCAATAATAATAATAATAATAATACAGTAGTATTTACCTGACGCTCCCAAGAAGGTAAGATGAGTCACAATGTATTTTGAGTACAATACATAATGTTCAACTCTACCCGACCACCTTCACGCTGGGGTTGATATTAAATCTGTCCAAACTCAAGTTTGCTAATGAGGAAGGTAATACCGAAGATTTGGAATCCCAAGGACCAGGTACCTTCTCCATTAATTAATGAGGAGAATGGATACGACGCATTGATCAAAATTGCGGGTGAAAATGTTTTACTAAGCGTAGCTTAAATGTAGCAAGTATAGAGCACCCAGTGAGGATCGAACTCACTACGTAATTGATCTAATGAGACAATTTTGTCAACTATCATATCACGTTGAAGTACCAATAATAATAATAATAATAATAGCGATTTACTAAGTGTAGCTGACATGTGGCATAAAACCGAAAGTATATAGCATGCAGTTAGTATTGTGCTCACTACTCAGTCGTTATTCTTATAGCGAGACAAGCTTGCTAATCATTACGTCATGTCGAAGTGCTCCAAATCCTGGAGTAGGGATTTACTTAATGTAGCTTAAATGTCGCACAGGATCGAAGGTCAAGCTTTCTAATGATTAGACCATAATCATAATACGTTCTCACGTTTTGTTTACTTATTATAACTAACTTTTTAAACTTGATATTATGATCAAATAAATTGAAAAGTTTAAAAAGTACACTAACCTCTGGATTGAATTTGTCAGAATGTGGGACGTTCAGGTCAGTATTGTCCCAGTTATGATTGGGGCTTTTGTGTTTATACTACCAAACCTACCGACCTACAATAAGAGAATCGTAATAAAGCCTAGTATCCTTCCACTTCAGAAGTCTGCATTGCCTGAGAATGCAAATATTTCGTGGAAGGTGTTCTCTGTCTGATATCGTAGAGACTGATAACGAAAACACATAACAAAAGATCTCTGGTTGAAACCGAAAAATCGAGCTAAAGAAGAGAAAATAATAATAAATACTCACTCTGATGAAGTCAGTCTTATTGACTGATTGACTTATTTTTTACGACTTATCAACCTTTTGCAGGAGATCCCACGTTAAATCGGACTAGTGCCACATGACGCCCTCGTTGG